GGGCCCGAGGAGTAGGCCCGGGGCTCTTCCCAGCCATTCCCAGCCCTTCCCAGCTCCTCTGTCCCTCTGCCATCACTGTCGGGTGTCTCCCTCTTCCCAGATATCATGGTGGAGGAGTTCGTGGAACATGGGCCTCTGGATGTGCTGCTGAGGAAGGAGAGAGGCCGGGTCAGCGTGGGCTGGAAGATCACCGTGGCCAAGCAGTTGGCCAGTGCCTTGAGCTACCTGGTAATGTAGCCTGGGGGGGGGATGATTTCCAGCAGGGAATGGGGATGGAATCACCTCCAAGTACCCGGGCCTTGGGAATGATCTTCAGCGCTGCTGTGCTCTGCTGGCCGGGGAATCTTCCCACTCCTTTCATTCCCTGCCTCAGATTTGGCTTCATGGAAAGGGATAGGGAGGAGGTGACACAGGTAATGGGAGCCTGGAGCATTTCCTTTGGGATCTCTCCTTGGTCCAAAGCATGTTTCTCCCAAAGGAAGCTCCACAAGGCCCAGTGCAAGGTCCTGCCCCTGGCTTAGGGCAGTCCCAAGCTGAGCATCGTGCTCTAGTCCCTACCCGTGCCTTGGAATCAGATGAGCTTTAAGGTCCCTTCCAACGCATTCCGTGATTCCATGGTTTTCCCGACAGGAGGACAAGAACCTGGTGCATGGCAACGTGTGTGCCAAGAACATCCTGCTGGCCAGGAAAGGGCTGGAAGAGGGAGCTGTGCCCTTTGTGAAGCTCAGCGATCCCGGCCTCAGCTTCGCCGTGCTCTCCCGGGAAGGTATCGGCTCGTTCCCTGCTCAGAGCTGGAAATTCCAGCTGGATTTTCCCCGCTTCCCGCAGCCCCAGTAGCTGCTCAGTGGGGAATGGTGCTGGGAGGCTCTGGCGAGGTCTTCCCTGCTTCCCAACCTCTGCTTGTTGGGATTTGGGGCCTCTTGAGCGTGTGGAGCCAGACACACTGCGGGAAGCTTTTCCCCTTCTCCCTGTGCTTTCCGGCTGGATCCTCTGCATCCCTTCCCTTTGCCTCCCCTCTCCCGAAGAGCGCGTGGACCGGATCCCCTGGATCGCTCCGGAATGCGTCTGGGATGTGGGAAACCTCAGCACAGCAGCGGATAAATGGAGCTTTGGCACCACCTTGCTGGAAATCTGCTTCGACGCCGACGTCCCGCTCAAGGAACGTGCCCCTTCCGAGGTGCTGAGCCCGCTCCGCACCCCAATCCCGCCTCTTCCGCACCGGGACGGCCCCGGCTCCCTTTGGACACGGGCCTTTCCCTCCCTTTTCTCCCTAGAAAGAACGTTTCTATGAGAAGAAGCATCGTCTTCCTGAGCCTTCCTGCAGGGAATTGGCCACCCTCATCTGTCAGTGCCTGAACTACAGCCCTGGAGAGCGTCCATCCTTCCGGACCATCCTGCGGGATCTCACCCAGCTCCAGCCCCACGGTGAGGCTCCAGGGGGGAAGGGCCCTGTCTTGTCTCCCTGTCCCTGTGTGGGATGTGGAGACCTTTCTGTAGTGGGTAGAAAGGGGGGGGGAAGAGGAAAGAAAAGGGAAAAAGGAGGGAAAAGAGATGGAAAAAGGAGGGAAAAGGGGAAAGAAAAGGAAAAATCTGGGAAAAGGGGGGAAATAAGGCAAAAAGTCCAATGTGGGAAAGGGGATGAAGGGACAGAGGGTGGCTGAGGAGCAGCTCCCCCCTCACCTCCTCTTCCCTCATTCCCAGCCCTTGTGGATGTCACCGCGGTGAATCCCGACTTCCCAGTGTCGGATCCCACTGTTTTCCAGAAGCGTTACCTGAAGAAGATCCGGGGGCTGGGGGAGGTACATGCCCCCCCCCCCCCCCTCCCCATTCCAGGAACATGGATTTGGGTTGGGGAGTGGAGGGCATGGTCTTTGCCAACCCCCAGTTTTGAACTGGAATTCAAGATCCCCAAAGGAAATGATGGGATAAATCCCTCAGGATCAACCCCGCTTCAGCTGGGCCCAGGGGGATGTTGCCCTGGTTGTAGGTTTTCCAGGTTCATTCCATCCTCTTCCCAACCTGATTCCCAATGGATCCAGCCTCTTCCCAACCTGATTCCCAATGAATCCACATTGGATGGATCCAGCCTCATTCCCAACTCCTCCTCCCTGGATAAAGGGCAGAAAGAAGCCCTGGACCCCTTCTCCCCATGGCCTTTCCCTGGGGCTCATTGCTCCGGAGCA